GTCACAGTTCTCTTCGGATCAGCCGTCGTCATTTAAGGTTCAATCTTCATAGGGAGTGAATAGTTAAAGCCCCATCTTCTTCGTCTTGTTAGTGGGTAAGAACAGTCTTGACAGGGGTGATAAAATCAAAGATCGCCATTAAAGTACGAGAGATTTAGTCAACCTCTTTCACCTTAATCGGTCTCTTGTCATCCTGCATCCACATTTTCACATTATCTGCTACCGTCATAAGAAGATTCGAATCTTTGTTCTGTTCTAAATTCTTGGCTAAGTAACGAGTGTTAGGTTTCGAGTTTTTAACTCTATAAGAACCATAAAACTTAAACGTAATTTCATACTAATTCCAAATTGTTTGTTCTGACTTATATTTAAGTTTTCTGAATTTAGTTAGTGTTTAACTTTTTTATCTTGTTATTGAAATGTTTTTTATTTTCCTGTTGTAATTTTGAAATGTTTGTTTTATCACCTTGATAAATCTTGTTTCTTTCCTAGAGCAGTTGATTAACAGTTCAAATGTTGTGCAATTTATGTTTCTCTAAATGTGTTTTCGATTTTGCTTATTTGTTTACAGCAAAGCGTCCGAGGGCTATCTGCATAAAAGGAGGGAAGTCTTCGTGGATTTTTTTCTAAGGGAAACTGGCTCGTATACATGTTACACATGGGAAAAGCCATGAAAACGCCCATGTAGCCATCCCATTCACCAGGATTCGAATCTTGGACTGAACTAACTCAGCGCCTTTACCGTACGGCCGCTGATGGTCTCGAAAAAGTGTTGCTGATTGAGTGTTACTTAGCTATAAAGTGTTAATATAATTTAGTATGTTTATCGATAAAACGTTTTTTGTCAAAACTGGAATAAGAGTTTTGTAAATTCTTTCAACCTGTCGGTTTTCTCATCGAATATCAGTTGGGATCAAAATATGTTTAATATTTTTTTTTCTGTACAGTAATCTTCAAGATCCTTCGATGTATGTACACTTCTTTTGTATGTGATTAATGTGATATGTTTGTCAAACGTAGTTTCCTGCAATTGTAATACTTCAAAAGTCGAAAGACCAGACAAAAATTTTGTGAAAGCATCTACTACGGTACGTTGATAATTCTTAAGAGTAACTGGAAAAGGCTCCATGAAATTTGTATGGTATGTAGACAGGGGAATAAATTCTTTAGAAATTGTGTTTAAAATTGCGTTTAGTTGCCTGCTTTTCTTGTTGGCAGGTATTAATTTCACATAATTAGCAGCTAAGTTTTAGATATTTCTTGTAATTTTAGTCTGTATCTTAGGCTTTGGCATAGCAAATTTCCATTTAGAATGAGCTTCTGTTATAATTTCTATTAATATTGGAGAATAATATTTGATTCTTTGTCATATTCAACATGGTAAAGCCCATCATTCCTCTTTTTATAAACACTAATACTGCTCTTCCCGATTAATTGTTTTACAACATTCTCATATTTATCACTTCCTTCGCTAACAATTTTCAAGATTATTGCAACGTAGAAAACAACCGTAACGGGGTTTCTGCTTCGAGCATCAGCGTGATACATTTGTTTGTCTGAGCGACGAGCTATTTTAAAATTGAAATCTTTTAAAAAAAGTTCATGTAGCAGTTCTTGGTATCAATTATCTTTTTCTTATATTTTCCTCGAAATCTGAAAAATACAAAAAAAAATTTGAAATTTAGAATCTAACAAATAATTCCTGAAAAGTTTCAAAGCCTCTAAAAATCTCCATTCCATAGCTAGACAATTTCTATTCGTATGAAGAAATTTCCTTACTAATTTAATTAGCAAGGTTACATTTGCCTTATTCACCTTATTCATATTAAAATACCTAGTATTTTATTATCCGCGTGTACTTGTTGATGAACTGTTGGAACATTGTTGATGAACTGTTTGAACATTGTTGATGAACTGTTTGAACATTGTTGATGAACTATTCTTTAAATTGAATCCAGCTGTCACAAAACTGCGCTGTGACAATGTCAAATAATATGTCAGTGGTGAACTTTATGAAGTTGCTAAAATAGCAGGTGTAAAAATATATCCTGCACCACCCTATACACCTTTTCTAAATAGTGTTGCTGAAAGAGCAAATATAACTGTACTGTAAAAAGCTAGATCAGTGATACTTGAGGCAAACTTACCAAAATTACTTTGGGGTTAGGCAGTACTTACGGCTGCTTATATAAATAATCTACTCCCAAATAGTTCAATTGACAACCGTGTTCCTTATTTTCTGAAGTACGGTTAAAATCCTGATTTGACAAACATGCTTGTATTTGGCTGTGATACTTATACTCTTGTGCCACCATCCCAAAGAAGGAAACTAGATGAAAAATCTGTCAGAATGATATTTGTAGTTTATTCCACAATGGGATATCGTTTAATGATTCCAGAAACAAGGCGCATCATTGTTTCCAGAAATGTTAAATTTAATGAAAAAAGAAGAAAGTAGAAATCAAAAATACATTCCCCATAGTTCGTAATTGAGTAAAAATGACAATGATGACATTAAAAATGAAGACAAATCAATTTCAGACACTGATAACGGCGAATGAAATGCTTCAAATGAGAAGGAGGAACAGAGAAAATCTTGAAAAGAAAAGAAGCAACCAGTTAGGTATCCTAATCCTGAGACTTACCAAGTGATGTTTGCACAAGACACTCTGACATTTGAAGATATTGTAAACCTACCACAAATAGAACAAGAACTATGGAAAAGAGCTATGGACGAGGAAATTAAATTTATGGAACATAACGACGTCTGGTATCTGCAAAGTTTACCCCCTGATAAAAGAGCCATTTCCTACAAATGGGTTCTACCTAAAACACGAGATGGAACTTATACAGCTAGGCTTGTTAAGCTTATAAAGCTAGGCATGCAAAAGGAAGGCATAGACTATATAGACACGTTTTCTCCAGTAATTGGTATGTGCTCTTTACGTTTAATCTTGGTAATCATCAATAATGAAGATTTACAAACTTTTAGTTTAGATGTCCAGACAGCTTTCTTGAACGGTAAGTTAGATGAAACCATCTACAGGGACTAGCGGAATGGATATGTTGATAAAAGAGCAGGTGTAAAAGTATAAGTGGCAAGGAATTTAAACTTAAGAAAGAGTTTATGGGCTTAAACACTCCTCTCGACAATGGTATCAGAAATGTCTTAATTTTGTTATTAAATTAGGTTTTAAGCAATTAGACTCTGAACCATGTATTTTCATAAGAAATCTAAATTGTAAAAAAGTAATTATGGCTCTTTATGTAGATGACTTATTAATTGCAGGTTCGGATGTAAAAGAAACAAGTATTATGTCATCGTTATTTAAAGACTTTCAAATGTAAAAGTCAGAAAGTGTCTCAGAATTTTTAGGTATTAGACTGAAGTTCGAGTCCGGTTGTTTATATTTAGATCAGAAACCATATATTGAAAAATTACTTGATAAATTTAAATTGTCTGATTGTAAAACTGCCCAAACTCCCATTGAACCAAAATCTACAGCAGCTGATTTTCAGAAAGGAAATGCATTTCATGGCCCATACAAAGAATTAATTGGATCTTTACTTTACTTAGGATATATTACAAGGCCAGATATTTTATTTGCAGTAAATTGCTTAAGCCAACTGTAGGAGCATCCTACTGATCTTGCCTGGTGTGCTCTGAAGAAAATTCTTAGGTATTTGAAAAACACCTTAAATTTGAAATTGACATACAAAAGGGTGATTCGGAAAGAGCAAACTTATGTTTGCATGTAGATGCGGATTGGGGGGGAGATACTAAAGATAGGAAATCAATTACCGGTTACTTTATAATGTTTTCAAACTGTCCTATTGTGTGGTGCTGTAACAATCAAAAGTGTATTGCACTTTAATCAGCAGAAGCTGAAATAATTGCTTTATGCCAGTGTTTCTCAACCTGTGGGGCGCGCCCCCCTATGGAGGCGCGAGCACATTAATGGGGGGCTAGCATATCCAAGAGAAAATGTTATTTAAAAAATTGATTAAGTGACTGAAAGGAAAGAACACACATACACATACAAAACAAAATACATTTCGACATATTTAATAATTAACTTATTAAATTAAATCAACTTACTAAATTGAAAACAAATTTAATAATTATTAGTGACTTCCTTGGGCCTGTTTTGCAGAGCAAAGTTTTTTGAAGGAGGGTTTAATATTAGAAATAGACACTCTCAGTTCTTTTTCTATATTTAGCTGAGATCAATATTTTGTCTTCAAAGAAGCCACCGCAGAAAATCCAGTTTCACAAAGGTAAGATGTTGAAAATGGTAGTAGAATGCAAAATGCCCTTGTTTTTAGTGCAGAAAACTCATCCTCCACTCCTGCCCAAAATTCAAAGAGTGATTTTTCTAAATTGTCTTTTGGTTTCGCCGCTTACCGTGAAGTCTATGAAGGTTTCTTCCTCTTCAATTGAGAGTCCTTCGGGAGTATTTTGAAATGGATCCCTCACCCACTTGTAACTTGATATCAGTTTGTCGTCAGCAAGAAAGTACTTTTTAAAATTCTTTGCCAGCATTGCTAAATGATTTTCAATGGTTACAAAACAACTTTTACATGTTGTTCTTCAGCCTTGTAAGTTTTCATACAATCATTCAAATTTGCAAACATTGTTAAGTTTTCTTGCTTTAAATTTCTGCTCCACAATTCCAATTTCCTACAAAAAGCATTAACTTTATCACTCGTATCTAATATATATGTATTTGCTCCTTGCAGTTAAAGATTAAAGTTATTTAATTTCTCGAATATGTCGACCATGTAGCTCAATTTTATCACAAATAAACTTTCGCGTCCGGTCTGTTTTCCTCTTCTAGGAAAACGTAGCGATTTCTTCTCTTAATTCATAAACACGTTGCAAAAATTTCCCTCGTGATAACCATCTTGCCTCGCAATAAAATAGGAACGCTGAACTGTATGTACTGCACCCATGTCTTTACAAAGTGCGGAAAAGATTCTTGATTTCAGGGGTCTCATTTTTATAAATTTACTACGGTTACAACCGTAGTTAACACAATATTCAGACCAGGACTCATTTCTTTGGAAGCCAAAGCTTCTCTGTGGATCATGCAATGTGTCCAGATGCACTGTGGCGATTTTTTGTTTTCACAAGTGCTTGGATACTTTGGAATCTTCCGGACATAGAACGAGCACCATCGGTGCATATTCCGACGCAATTTTTCCATTCTATGTTTGCCTCGTTCATAAAAATCATTTAAGATAGCAAATAATGCGAGTGCTGTTGCTTTGAGTTCTATTGGTTTGCAGAAAAGTAATTCTTCTACTACTGACAAATCATCACAAAATCTAACATAGGCTAACAAATTAGCATCTTTATTACTATCTGCTGCCTCATCGAGTTGTATTGAAAACAATTTGTCACGTAACTTCGACAAAAGCTGACACACTACATCTTCAGCTATATCAGCAATTCGACGGGCAACAGTATCATTTGAAAGAGGTATAGACTGCAATTGTTTTGCAAAATTATCTCCAAACATAATTTCTACAATCTCAATTGCGGCTGGCAGAATAAGATCTTCACCAATGGTGTGAGATTTTTTACATCTGGCTATTTTATATGAAAATTTGTAAGAGGCAATTAAAGCTTTTTCATTCACAGACAAAGTTTTTTTAAACAATAAGTTTTGCTTTTCATATGATTTTAATTTTAATTCGAAGAATTCTCTGGGTTTGTTTAGGTACTCACTATGAAGCGTTTCCAAATGTCGTTTAAGTTTATTAGGTTTCATGCAGTTTGCCGCCAAATTTTTTGAGCAAATGATACACAGGGGCCTTTCTTCTTCATTTACTTCAGTACTAATGAACCCAAAATTTAAGTATTCTTGAATATTTTCTTGATTTTATTTTCGGAACCACGCTTGTCTGTGTACTTGTTGATGCTTGTCTATCGTCTAATGCTCGCTTACGCCCGCTTAAAAATTTATCCATGATTCTGCATAACTCTGCTGCCATGAATATTTAATACGGTGAATTGCAATTACACGAAAATATATATAACATACACATTCAGAATAGATTCAATAGAGATAGAAGGATCGACTCGAATGAGATTTTCTGGAATTGAAATTGGCGTCATAGAACTTTCTCCCTCTTCCTATGAGAAAACATTTGTTCAGATCTGCGCACGCTCCTAACTTAACTTTTAAGCTGACCAGACAAATTCCAGACAAATTGAAACTTCTCGCGAAACCGTGAGAATGCCCGACATGGCGGGACTCAAGAGCAATAAAAAGGCATAGGATTCTTGTTTTTTCAATGCTGAGGATCGGTGTTGCAAAATGTCAATAAATTGCCGTATTCTTGGTAATTTGTAAAGTTTAAAATTAAGGTTGTAGTGTAGGTTTAGCGCCAAAATGCTCAAAATGCATTATTATTGTATACATTTTATTGTATTCGGTGGGAGGGGGGGCGATGAAAATTATGATTGAAAATTGGGCCGTGAATACTAAAAGGTTGAGAAACACTGCTTTATGCAAAGGTATTCAAGATGTTTTACGGATAAAAATGTAGTAAATGAAATTTCCAGTGTTAAAAATGTCTATATTTTTTTAGATAACCAGCCATGTATTAAAAGTTTGATAATGAAAACTTTTCAGGTAAGCTGAAACACATAGGTATAAAATTAAAGTTTACTCGTAAGACTGTTAAAGAAAATAGCATTAAAATTGAATACGTACAATCAAGTTTACAAATCGCAGATATGTTAACTAAGACTGTGCCCAAAACAAAATTCTATAAACTATTGTGATTGAGCTGTTTAAAAATTTAAATTTAAAAATTGATGTTTAAAAAATTAAAAATTGGTATTTGAAAAACAGCTTAAATTTAAAATTTATATACAAAAAAGGTGATTTGGAAAGGTCAAACTTATGTTTGTATGTAGATGCAGATTGGGGGGATACTCAAAATAGGAAATAAATTACTGGTCACTTTATAATTTTTCAAAAAGAAGTATAGCTTTCTGTCACGTTCGATGTATTCTGAAACTTACACCATTCTCTTTGTTTATATTTTCTTTATGTTATTTTTTATTGGTTTTTTTTTATTGTGTCTTGTTTATGATTTGTTAAAGCATGACCTGTTGTAATGACCTGTGTAAAAGTTTTGTGTATCTCTGCGTATTGCTCTGTGTAAAAAAAAAAAAAAAAAAAAAAAAAATTCGAACCACGGCATTTCAACCATTATAAACGAGGTTGTTCAACCATTCAAATGTTCAACCATTATAAACGAGGAGAAGATAAATGTGATCTTCAAGTATACGTATTTTAACGTAATGGATCATAAGAGACGAATAAATGTATTTCACGAAGTCATTCACACATAAATTTTACTTTTATACGTCGTTTCATCTTTGTCCCATTTCAGCCCTATTTCTTTTGTGGGTCTCATACCTTCAAACAAAACTTTTGTGGCTGCTACAAAATGTCACGAAAAACAAGGTACTCACTCTAGTTAAAAGATAAAATTCATATCTTAAAATAATTTAATAAGAATATTGGTTTGATGAATGTTGAATTAGCAAAGCTATTAGATGGTCCTGTGAAAATACGAGGGCAATCCCAAAAAAAAGGTCTCCTATATTTTTAGATATACAAAGAAACGTTTATTTTCTATAATTGCTACATCTCTTTAAAGATTGAAGAATGCTTTATTTTTCAACATAATCGCCATTTCAATCGATGCATTTTTGTAGACGCTGTGGCAGTTTTACAATGTCCATGTCATACCAGCTTGCCGCCATGCCCTTCAGGAAGTGTTGAACCTCATCTTTCCAAAAAGTCCAAGAAGTTGTCCTTTTCGTCTCCATAGCGGCGAAGAAATTCGCGGGAAGAATCAACCCGTTGCTGTTTGTGGTCTTCTGTCAACATACGCGGCACCCATCTTGCACACACCTTCCGATATTGCAACTTTTCCGTTAAAATCCTGTGGATGGTGCTTCTGAAAACCTCAGGAACCAAAATGCAGAGAGCATCCAGAATGATCATCCGATCTTTACACACGAGTTCCTCAACTTTCGCGATTGTCTCGTCGGCAATTGACGGCCTCCCGCTCCTTTCTTAGTTATGAATTTCAGTACGACCGGCTGTAAACTCTCTACACCACTTGCGAACGTTTTTGACATCTATGCACGACTGTCCATACACTTCCGTCAATAGGCGGTGAATTTCAACCAGTTTAACGACTTTTGCATTCAAAAATCGAATAACTGCGCGCACTTCGCACTTGGCGGTAACGTTTATCGGGAGCTCTATTTCGAATGGCTGCCAAGCCAAGACTGAGCATCCGAGCGAAGCGCCTGCGTGCTTATGTGGTAGTGGAGAAAGCACCACTCACAATAGTGTTGCCAACAACCGTATTAAAACTTTCTCTAAGTCCCCCAAAAATAGGAGACCTTTTTTTTGGGATTGCCCTCGTACTAAAAACGATTGTTTATAATAGAACAAAATTTGAAGAAGACCAGAAATTTGTAAACAGTCGGCTTCAAAGAACTTACGTGTTAATACGGAAAGTTTGTTGAGTCTGAAACGATTTTGCTAAATGATTTCATTCAGTAAAGTTCATAGTGCATCCAGTGTTCCATTGAATAGTCGCCTGTCAATCAAGAAGTCATAAGAAATAGCACTTCCACTGAAAGTGAAAGGAAGCTTGTTTTCAACTGGATGGCTACATAAATTTAAACTGCAGCATGAAATCTCATGTCATGTGATAAATGGAAAATCAAAATGAGTTCCTCCTGAGTCGATTGAAGAGTGGTTCAAGAATTTATCCACAAAAATAGATAGACATGAATAAAAAGACTTTTCAATAGTGATGAAAGTCTTCTGCTTCTTCTTTTTTTAATGCCTGCAAGGACTCTAATCTTCAAAGGTGATTAGTGTCATGGAGCCAAGCGAAGAAAAGGACGTCTCATTGTTTTACTTTGTGCAAATGTTGATTTTATGAGAAAACTGACTCTTTTAGTTATAGGAAAGTCACAAAAATCAAGGTGCTCCAAACAATTAAAACTCTGTCATTATTATATAAGAAAATAAGAAAGCAACGGTAAAGCATACATAGGAAAGTGTGGATAATTACGGGCATTTTTACAAAATGGCTCAAGAAAACAGACAAAAGTATGAGGACATAAAACCCTCAAAATTTTACTTTTCATCTGCGATTTCTTATGTATTAGTGTACTGCCTATCCTCAAATGACAAATTTCTTGCAAAACTTGAACATTTTCTCTGAAAATTTAAACAGTGTACTTAGAACTGGATGTCATTAAGAATTTCAAAATGTTCTTCAACTAAAAATGATTCAAATAGACTTCAAAATATCACTACAAGAAACATGCAAAAACATTTAAATAATCTTGAGGCTATGAATATTATTTCACTTGCCTAGACTTAAGTAAAACCACAAACAATAAAAAATTACTTCATTAAAAGAGAATTTTAGAACCCAGAGTCAAACGAAAGTATTGAAGATAAAAATGGTGAAAAAACTGTGATTATGGATGCAGAAGGATATAAAATCATTGGAATTACACATTGTAATAGAGCATTATGTAAACTGTGATACCACAATGATATCAAATTTATGTACCGTTAATGAACTTGTGGTAACATGTGGCCCCAACTTGTCAGCAACTGCGGTAGTGACTGCTACGAAATGTAAATTTACACAAACACGTAAGAAGGGTTTAAAGCCCTTTTTATTCCACTATAAAAATAACAGCTGCGTTCGCTTGACGCTCACAAACTACGCCGACCCGGCGGTTTAACAGAAACAAAATGTAAAACTGAAAAAATAATGACTGGATGAATAAATAGCAAGATCACTATCCACGAGGCTCTGAAATCTTAACTAACTTACCCGCGTTCTAAAAATACAGTTGAGATTCAACGAGCTTACTAGTTAAGCAGTTGAATGATTCATCAAAAACTGCCGAGAGAGGCACACAGACCGAAACGCGCGGTTCTTAAATTTGAATATACTGTGCGCTCTACTACAATTTACATACTCTAGCATTTGCAATTCTAGGGGAAAGTAGAGGCTTGACAGGAAAGATAGCTTAAAATAAATGTTAGTTAAAATAAATATAAACCATACATTTGCGCTGCCATAATTTAGTAAACTTGGAAGCAGGTCCTAGAAACGACCTGTTGAAAAGTTTCCATATTCTAACCTAAGACTCAGGAGCCCCGTTTACATAAAACACATTTTTGCCTAAAAAAATTACAATCGTTTTTGTAGAAGATTAGAATACAATAACTTCTTACAGGATCATCTCTGCTGTTTGGTCTTCATCAATCAATATTTTTCTCTTCCTTCCAGCATCTGGAAGGAATAAGTATCAGTACATTCCAAATACATTATGATTTACACTTTCTTAACACTCGATAATGTTTTCGTTTTCGATCCTTTTCTTTTCCTTATTTAGCTGCTTACATTCACATTCATTCAAATATTCAAACATGAATTTAACTTTACCCTG